GTCCCTCGCGGTGGCCCCTGGCTGATGCTGCCAGCCAACGTCCTGCACGGCGAGGGGAAGGCGGCCTGGTGGGACCCCTTCCCCAGAGCACTGCTGCTGGCAAAGCCCCATCCTGCTCAGGGAGCAAGGGCCTGGCCCTGTGCTCGGTGGAGATGCTCAGGCGGTGCCAGGACCAGGCAGACGGTCAGGCAGCCTCCCCTCTGCCTTGGGCACGCCGGGGAGAAGGGAAGCAGGCTCAGAGCACCCCTCTCCCCGACGCCGACGGGCAGGGAGGGCCATGTCCTTGTCTGTCGGGATCGCATGCAGCTGAAAGCCAGGACTCACGCTTCCCAGCGCCAGGGGCTATGTGCATGTTTCGACCCCCTTTGGAATAGGTGCAAATGTTGGAGCACGCCCTGGACCAACAGCCTTGGCTTTTCATAGCTGGGATGCTCCTCAAGAGCGGGCTCCGGGCCCCTGCATGCTGGCAGGGCCTTTGCCAGCCTGAGCTGTGCGGCTGCGGGTTTGCTCATCGCCGTCTGTCACAGCTCGCTCTGCTGCAGAGTCCAGCTCGGGCGCTGAGCTCGTTTGGGCTTCACACCAGTGCCAAGACGACGAGCATTTGGGCCAGAGCTGCAAGCGTGCAAGTTGCTCTGCAGCTGGGTTGACCAAAAGCTGCTTTTCTCTCCCCAATGACCTCGGTTTGAACTGCTGCCTCCTCAGCCCGCGGGCAGCATCAGCAGGTCCCACCCGCAGGCACGGGGCTGGGGACCGCTGCTCTCCCCCGGGGAAGGCGCCCTGCCCTCTGAGGGTGACACCACTGCTCCCTTTCTCCTCTTGCTTCACGATGGGGCTGTGGTCCCCGCACTGACCGCCTGCGTGTTTCGGTTTTGTTCTTTCCTTTCAGGCCTGAAGCAGCTCCGCAGCCTGAGACCGACACCGCTTAGAGCCGTAGCTGGTAAGTGTCCCCCATCCCTCGCTGCCTGCTTCATGTGGCTCCACCAGGCGGGAGGGGTCAGATGGCCACGGCGTGTGACACCCGTCTGTGGGTGGTACGTGTGGCTGTCCTCTCTATCCCCCATGTCCATGGATGGAGACACTGCAGAGCATGAGGGCTGGGCTGATGCCCTGAACCTCAGGTCGTGCTCTGTGTTGCACCAGAAGTCCCGGTGGCCTTGGGGTCCCATCGCATGCCTCTTCCTGCCCGGCTCGTCCTGCCTGGATGCTGCCAGAGGGGAGGGCTGAGGTTGAACCCGTCTGTCCGCGTTGCCCCACCAGCACAGGGCTCCCACCTCAGCCTCACATTTGTGTGGTTCCGTGGGCTGTTCACCGGTTTGGGAGCCTCTCGGGGCCACCAAGCCACAGCCTGGGCCCCTGTGAGAAATGGGGAGCTGGCAGAGGTGCTGCTGGTCTCGGGGCTTTCCGGAGATCGAGAAATGGTCTTTGCCACCGTTACTGCCATCTGCCTTGAAATGGAGCTGGCCCTGAGCAGAGGCTTGCCTTCCTACCAGGACATGGCCTGTCAACGGCGGCTCCTCCTCCTCCTTCTCCTCCTCCTCCTCCTTTTCCTCCCAGAGTCTCTCTACATCCCATTCCTTCGATCTTCAGCCAGGTCTCATTCCCTTTTCCTTTCTGTTCCCTGACAGCTCCAGCTTCCATGGTGTGTGGCGGCAGCTTGCAGAACTAGTGCCATTGCAGCCTTCCCGGAGGAGACCTAGAGCGAACAGAGGGGTTTGGTGGGGTGGGGTGGGACTGGGGCATCTTTAGGGGCATACCTGGGCGAGGGGAGAAGGAACACTTGACGTCACAGTGCTGTTGCAGCTCTGGCAGAAAGCTTTCCCCGTGTCGAGGCCAGGTCAGACACATTTGCTGTTTCTTGGGAGCAAACGCCCCGTCTTGTTCCACAGCTGCAGCCTTGCTCTAACCAGGCACGCACTGCCCGAGGGCAGGCGGCTCCGCAGCGAGCCCTTCCCTGCTCCTCTCAGCAGCCCTGGCTTCCCCCCCAGCCGCTGGCCCTGGTCACCACGCGGCACCGAGAGGAAAGGCAATGCCTGGAAAGGGAAGGCAGCATCTCAAGAAACTCCGAACGCTCTGGCCTGGCCAGCCCCTCCGAGCGCGTCAGCGCAGCGGTCGCCCGTCTCGGGCCACGCAGAGTCCAAGGCTGCCCCACGACCAGAGGACCGCTTGCTGGGCTTGACCCCTCTGGCTGAGGAGATGGGGTTTGTGCAAACGCTGGTGGGACCAGGGGGCTGGGTGTGCTTCCCACGACCGGGGTCCTGCCCAAAGCCGTCACCGGCAGCTTCAGGCCGTGTCCGTGACCCGAGAGCGAAGGCCGAGCGTGCTGGGGCTGAGCGCTGGCCCGTGTCCTTCCGTAGAGCTTTTGTTCCCTGTTCCCCTCCAAAGCCCCGTCCCGCATGGCAGCACCTGGGAGTCAGAGGAGTTGGATGTGACTGGTGATGCTGGGAGGCACTGGGCAGGGGCTTTGGGGGGGACAAGAGCCAGCACAGCCGGTGGGAATGCTCTGGGCTGCTGACCCGTCCCCCCTGACCTGCCAAACCCCACCCAGCACCTTTTTGGGTCCCTTTTTTTGCCATGTAAAGGCTGTCCCCAAAGCACTCTCACTTCCTCAGCCTGGATCTGTGGAGGGTGACTGGTGCCCTCCTGCTTTTTGCCTTCGTGCTGTGACCTGGCAGGGGAGGGCAGGGAGCCGTCCCGCAGGACAGGCCCGGGGGGAGCAGCCTCTGCTTTGAGCCCTGCATCTCCTTGGCTTTTCTGGGCTGACCAGCAAGTCCTGCGGGGAGCCTTACCCCTAGCAGAGGCGGGTGGGAGGCGAGAAGCTCCCTCCATGGCTGGGCAGTTCAATGTCCCTGCTGTGGAAGGGGAAGGCGCCGGGGGGGGCTGCAGCTCGTTTGGCTCTGCCTTGCAGCCCCCCCGGGCCCTGGCACGCGACCCTCGGGATGGGAGCATCGCCCAGCTGGGTGCTGTAAAACCCCACCTGAGGATGTCACATCTTGGCCCCCCTCGCCCAGCAGTGCCCGGTGCTTTTCCGCTGCGAGGGACGGGTCGGCAGCTCCACGAGCGCTTTGTTGTGAGCAGCAAGGAGGTCTCCGGCTTCGGGAGGGCAGCGCGTGTCAGACTTGCTTCGCAGCAGCAGCCTTAGAGGCCGCGCTCCCTAGCTGAGAGGAATCGCCGCAACGTAGAGTAGTGATAAAAATGGGAAGGTCCTGTTACCCAAGGGTGGGAGCTCGGGGGCGTCTCTGTGTGACAGCAGAGCAGACGTTTGGGGAGCGCTGCTCCCCATGCAGGCTCGGACAACGCCGGGTCCCTCGCCCACGCCACCGAGGGACGTTGGTGCCTGCGATGCCACCGGTGCTGGCGC